GATGAAATGCTGAGAACTGAAGTTAATATTTTTCATATCATGGGCAAGTCCAGTCATTGCAGAACAAGATTTCTTGATTGTATTTGATTTTGAAATTAACTGAACACACATTTCCTAGATAATGAAATTTGTATATTTTTTAAAAGTTTGCACTGAACAATGACATGCAGACTTCCCTAGCCCATTTCTGTATTGGCTTGCTTTTTGAACACCTAATTACAACATTATTTGAGGAATCATAACCTATTTTTTAAATGTGTAAAAACCCACTGGTGCCTCATAAAGAGCTTAAGAAAATTATAGGCAGAAGAAAAGTAGATCATAGGCCATTAATGTGTTTAATGATATGCAAATGCTGTTAAACTAGAACATAATTGTATTACTGTTCTTTGGGGAAGAACAGATTTAAACAATTCAAAATAACAGATGTAAGTTTTTAGTGCTGAGATCTAACAGTAATAAATTAGAAATGAAAGTCATACATATATTGAATTACATCTTGACTTTCATAGATTATAATTTCATCACAGTAGACAAAATTGCAAACCGCTTACAGCTCATATGTTTTATGTTTCTCTTCATGTGAAAGGTGGCCAGTACTTTCTTCCGTGGGTAAGTTAGCTGAATTAGAACAAGTCATCAGTGTTATACCCACGATCCTGCAGAAATTATATGATTTAGCCTATGTTCTCTCACATGTAGACTGACCAATTTAACTGACTGGAAAAAAAAAAAAATTAGAATGACATAGGGAGTTTAAACCAAGTGAAATTATCTGATGGTTACTGAGCTTTCTAGAAAGCAGAGAAATAAATAATGCAAACTGAATTTCAGCAGTTGCCCCTATTCATTTCCAATTCATAGGGAATCTTTCTTGTTTCTTGGATGGAAAAATGTCATTCTAAGCGCCTCTTTGCTTCTGGGGGGTGGCAGCTAGCCGTGAACTACAGGGTCCTGAATAGAACACGATCAACACCTAGTGGCCACAGACAAGTCTTGAGTGTGATTTTTCTTGGCCAGCAACAAGTGATGTCATAAGAAAAGGATCTTTGGAAAAGAAGAGGAATCTTAGCTCCCACATCACTTTTCCCTCACCCAAGTTTGACCCGATGCTGCCATTGCCACCTTATTCCTGCAAACAACGGGCATTCAACTAATGCAACTAACAAATGCTGCCATCACACTGTCGTGATGGGTAAGCTGTATGAAATGCGAAAGAATAAAAGAAATAATAGGGGTCAAAATTTTTTTTAACTTGAATTGAATCAAGTGTTTATACCATGAACGAAGAATAAAACAGGACATCCCTGCTTTCGTTTAAATTAACCTTCTGTTATTTTCCCCCCAGGACGTGTAAATAAAACATCCCAGTCAGAACTAGATTTTTCCAGAATAGTAGAGCAATGGAAACAATGCAGATACAAGTTTTCTTACCATGGCTTCCTTGGCAGCCACTTCTGGTTGAAGGAGAAAGAAGGGAGGAGGGAAGGGGAGGGAAGAATCTCAACAGTGTCTTCCAGCTGCTAACTCAGTAAACAAGAAAATAAAACACTCATGTGTGCATTATTTCAGAAGGCAAAGAGGTCTTATGTGTTCTACTTGTTGCTATTAGATATCTGGCAAAAGAGTACAAACATAGGTTAAAAGGTCCCAAGGAATTTTTGTTTGTTTGTTTTTGTGAGGTGAGGCAGGTTGTTGGAGTCTATGAGTATGTGTTCTTTGTGTGTTGTACCATCTACTGGAGGAACAGACTTCTGATTCACAGCAGGGTCACCTGATGGACCTAGACAAAGAAGTCTCTAATCAAAAAGGCCTTCATGGGTCAGGGTGTTATTGTAGCTGATGTGTTTCCATAGCAACCTGTGGATGGGTTTCACCAGAAGAGAGGCCCACGCGTAAATGACAGAATGATGACAGTGATGTCTGGGCAAAAAAGAAGCCCAGGGCAAGATAAACATGTTTTAAACAGAAATGCCTACAAGCTATGTATCACAAATTCTATTTAAAAGTAGGTACTGTCTAGTTAAAAACAGGCGAAGTCAACAGAAGCAATTGGTAAATAATTATGTATTTGATCATAACATTAAGGATTGGAAATATAATTTCTTGGGGAGAACATTTAGCTTAAACTAAAAAGAGAAAAGGGAATAAATCAGGTTGGAGAGACAAATTTTCTCAGGATGCTCCTAGGGAAGTGATGCTATGTAATTTGAACAAAATGAGGTGATTTTTTTAATGTCTTTTAACTTTTTCACCCATGAAGCTTATCCCAGACTAGGTAGAGAAAAGGGAGGTTTTAAAAAGCTCTTCTCAGTCTCTTCACTGACCTATCCAAGATGTCTAATTGAGTTCATTCAAATAAAAAATAACATTCTGAATAAAGAACAAAAGGTCAAAAACTTAAATTAAAAATGGATCTCTACCTGTTTATGGTGATGTACATAGCATGTGTCTCCTCAGAAGTGTGAACTCCTAGAAGCAGGCACTATCGAGAATGTGGAAGCAACAATAAAGGCCCTTAAGTTACCATAATGGACTTGTTGAACCATCTGGGGGAAGTAACCATAGCAGTGGTGTGTGAGAGCCAGCCCCTACTAGCTCACGCTGCTGTATTCCTACCCTCAGAGTGCCTCCAGGGACTGTTCTATCTCGTGGGTAGCTATCCACTAATCATGATGAAGATGAGAATAACTGATAGTAAGAAACATTTAGAAAACTCATCATAGTTTACAAAGTGTTTTCACATCTACTTGTTAAAAGCAAGTGATGCTACTGTCCCTGCTGTTTATAGAAACTGAGCCTTAGGGAGAGCGTGAACATTTTTTGAGATCAAACGGTTCATAAGTGGATAAATGCCGGTGTTCTAATCTAGGTCTTCTGACAAATGTGTCCCAGGTAATAATAGCTACAAGGTCTTATTCCTTCCAGAAATCCTTTTAGTTTAATGGAGAACCGTAATCAGGAACCTATAAAGCCGGTTCAAGACTAAAGGATTAACTTTCCAATGTTGGGATTGTCGATAATTTTAGATCATGTCTAGAGTGCTTTACCCTAAATCATATGAGCATCCTCCTAATGTGGGTTCTCCATGGCTGGCCCTGCTTAAAGGTTGTGACGGCCTGGTTCATTTTGGAACTTACATGTTAGATCAATGGTTTTGCTGTTAATTTTTTTTTTTTTTTTTTTGCGTTACGTGGGCCTCTCACTGTTGTGGCCTCTCCTGTTGCGGAGCACAGGCTCCAGACGCACAGGCTCAGCGGCCATGGCTCACGGACCTAGCCACTCTGCGGCATGTGGGATCTTCCCAGACTGGGGCACGAACACATGTCCCCTGCATTGGCAGGCGGACTCTCAACCACTGCACCACCAGGGAAGCCCTGCTGTTAATTTTTAAGTAGAATGTTCTTACTAAGAGGGCCACAAATTTGTATCTGCCACATCTCTTGATATAACCAACTGAGGTAAAGTTCTAACCAGTTCTCTGTAACAGATCAGCTTAATTGCTATCTATATGACTTATTTTATTTCCAGAGGTATTAACTTATGAAATAACTCTCCTTTTCCTCCTTATTCTTATCTTAAATCCAATGACTATCTTGAACAACTCTCCATGTATATATGCTTTTCACATCCCTAAAGAAAGAAATGGTAGAAATGTCAAAAAAAACAAAAAATAAATGCATGAAGGAGGAATAGCAGCTCTGGAGGGAAGTCAGAGTTTCTGGGCTCAAGATGTGGCTCTACTTCAACGAACTGTGTGATCTCAGACAAGACAATCTGCATCTGAGTTTCCAATGTGGGTAAAACTGTTCCTGGATCTTTTACTTTCACACGTATTCAATGTAGGTGCTGCCAATAATGTATCAGGAAAGAATCGAACAGCCCAAACTATTTTAGTTCCTTTTCATTTCATTGGTGTATCTTTAGCCTTTAAGTATGTATAAGTGTATCTCAGGGTGCCCAGACTCAATCTATTAATTCTCCGGAAACTTTATGATGTGAAAAGTGCAAAGAGCAGAGAAAGCACATAGGGCCTCAAAGCAAGGTGGTTTTCTCTTGTGCACCCAAACTGTCATGGACAACTTTAATAGAAAATGGAATCAGTTTGTGTACTAACTGAGTTTTCTCAGTGTATATCTAGAAATTCATTATTTGTCTCTTTTGTTATCAGATTTTTGTTTTCTAATATGAGGGCACAAATGATACCAAGACACTTACTATCTGATCAATTTTGGGGACTGGAAGGAACAGATAGTAAAGAGAAGGGAGAGAAGGAGAATAGGAGGATAAAAACATCTTCGAAAATCTTAAAAAATACTTTGGTTAAGAAAAATGTTTACCTGATGCTTACTTAAAACTAGGCGGAGTAATTTCTGTAATGAGAAAATATAAATATAAAAGAATATATTATATCAAGATTCTCTAAATACTCTAAACCCCCAAAGAAGTCTCTGAATGTAAGATTTAATATAATAAATGTCTTTTTTGTTTATAGTATATCTTTTTGTCTAAACATTAAACTTCTAATAATTTCACCCACACTGTATCCAACAGCAAATTTTGAAAGAATCAAAATTTTAAAAATTGTGATTTTAAAGAAAGTAGAAAGTTCTCTGATTAACTGAAAGAACGTTCACAAAGCTCATGTCCTTTATATCATGGATGAGGCCTTCAGACTCTCACTCAGAGACTATTTACTTTTATTTTATAAAGAACACTTACAAGCTCAGTGGCTATGTTTCCAAACTGATATAAGCTTCAAAAGGCTTATGAGATCATTTCTGTTGTAACCCCAGTACTTACCACAAAACCTAGCACATAGAGTGGGCTCAATAAATGTTTGTTAACTAATGAGAAGATTAGAAGCAGTATTTAGTAGTTGGTGTTGTTGGCTGGGAGAAATGATAGCCTGAGATCCATAGAAAGAGTGAGAAAAATCACAACAACCAGACACGAAGCTCACCAATTTAAAAACACACAGTCCAGTACATCTTACTAACCTCTGAGCGATTAGAGCACAGATACAGAAGCAATTGCCATTCTACAGTGATGATCCTGAGTCATTAGGAAAATATTCAATTTTGTTTAATTCTTGTTTAATAAAAGTCAGGGAGCTATAGAGCACACGTTTGAAATATTTCCATCAGAGAGGATTAAGATAGTCCCTCAGTGGGAACCTTTACTCCCCTCTCATGCTGAGATCTCCTTTTGAAAATATAATCTTGATGGTATAATATTGCATATCTTTAAAAAATTAGACCTTGGTTCTATTCCAGGATGTCTAATTCCACAGTATCTTTTGTAGACATAGAAAGTATGCTTTTTCCTCGTCTTTTTGATTTATTAAGCTTCTCAGTAAAGACTCTGAATACATTCCACATATCCGATCTTCCTGTTTCAGTTACAAAACAGTACAGAATTGGATCAGCAACACAATTTAAACTTGTTAATGCAACTGTGATTCTATAGATTTTATAACTCTGCTTCCCAGGCTTGTTATGGTCAAACATACGTTCATCCAAGCTCACATCATGCTCTAAAACGCTGCGAATCAGCAACATCACATGAAAGGGAGTAAAACACAAGATAAAAGTCAACGTGATACTAACAAGTAGTTTTATGATTCTCTTCTTTTCACTGTTTTCTGTAGCTTGATTTTGCTGCACAGCTTTGTAGACTTTCTGGTTGCAAGCCATTATGATGACCAAAGGTATCATATAGCCTACACACGTCCTAACAAAGTTAAACCGGATTTGCCATTTCTCCAAAGGATATTTGTCGTAGCATAAAGTAAAGTTAGACTTTGTGGCATCACAATATTCAACAGCTGTTTCATCTTCCCACAGAATGACAGCATTGAAGATGGTTTCCAATATCCAGATGAAGAGGCTCACCATGAACGCACATCTTCTTGACCTTAGAAAAGAAAACTTCAAAGGGTAGACAACTGCTAAATACCGATCAATCGCGATGCAGGTGAGGAAAGCTGTGCTACTGTAAAAGTTCATGTACATGAAGAAGGCACTCCCTTTGCACAGGGCAGGAGAGAATGTCCAGTTGTCTTTATTCCAAGTATAATCAATCCATAGAGGGAGAGTTAAGGCATACAGCAGATCAGATAAGGATAAACTGAAGAGGTAAATGCCTAATTCATTTTCCTTCTTTGCTTGCAGAAAAGACACACATAGAGAACCGATGTTGGCTGGAATGCTGACTATTACCACAAAGATGTAAATAACTGGAAACAAATAGTGATCCAAGTCATGCTGTTCTTCAATACATGTGCTGTTCATGTTTCCTTTTTTAGGTGCTGATTATATGTGTTCTTAGATGGTAAGTACCAAGATAAGCCTTGTCTCTTGGGAGTTTGTTTCCAACACCTAACTCTCTTTCACTAAGATTTCTTCAGTTGTCCTTTGCTTTCAAAAGTTCTGATGGATTCATCAATGGTCTTAAAGGATGAGTGGAGATCAAGTTTCACACAGGTATCGATGGCTGGAAGTCAGGATGCAGGTTCCCGGGAGTTACTAAAGTGATCAGTGATTTTAATGTGCAGAAGTCCATGTGCTTATTCTCACAGCATGCTGATGAAGAACCCTGGAGGATTCGCCACATTATCCATCAGCTTTCATAGAATGCTGTCTTCAGTTTGGTTTTCTTCGTGAAACTCAGAGGAGATTGGTGCGAACATGACTATAGAAGGCTTTATTTTCACAAAGGTTGACATCTCTTTTTAAAATGCCTTCGTTTCTGTAATGAAAGACAAACTAGAATAGTTCGGATGCTTAAAAGAGACATCATGATTTTTGAAACGATCTTATTTTATTTCATTTATTGAGGATATCAAAATGCATGAAATTGCATACAATGAAGGCGTTTAAAAAGGGAAACTTGTCTAATTGACTTTGGTAAATGAAATCAGGCTGAGATATTTGACCTTTTTCAAATAAGAATTATCCAAGGGATGCCAGGTTAGAGGGAATTATATTTCTCACTAGACACAATCTAAGCATGCAAAACTAAAGTTAAAAGTCATTTTAGAAGCTAATTTAAAAAAAAGATGGCGAATTCAATTATTTGTTTGTAATCAGTAAATGCATTTGAGTGTATGGTAAACTGTATGATTATAGGATTTCAAATTTTTTATTTCGTGTGCAATCTATGTATAAGGCACTTATTTTCAAAGTATGCTTATTAGCCAAGAAAAAAGTTGTCACAAGAAGTTTGATAAAGTGAAGCACTTGAAAATATAGCAGTTTGCTGAAACTTCGTAAATAATTAGACAACACTACCTCATTTGTTTCTCCTTTGCTTTCTTTGTGGGCTGATTTACTTTATCTTCCTCGTACTCTTGTGAAAGAGAGGGCAGAATGTGCTGCATTCTGGGTAAAATCTATGACCATCAGTTTCTACATTTATACCTGATTGTTTACTAGGTTAGCTTTTTAAAAATGTCTGATGTACATCCATGTAGGAACAGAGAATCCATTCTTCTCTCCATATTGGAACAGAGAAATACTAGCTTTATTCCTTTGCTAGTGAGGCCTGTTGGTGCTTTGGATGATTTATCTGAGGGGAATCTTCACAGAAAGCTTTGTAGAGTCACCATGTAGTGGAAGGAAGACATGTCCTCTTCCTGTGTGCTGTGAGGCCTACAGGACCTCAAAACCGTCCCTTTCCAAGTGTTGATGCGCCCTTAGCACAAAAGAGACCTGCCACCACAAGGCACCAGTATTCTGCTGGGAGAGTAAACCATATCCAGAGCCCATAGGATATGTCACTCTTAACACAAAACGGAGAACTAAAATTCCTGAAATCACCTAATTTTTCCACACCTAAAAATATGAATAAACAGCCTTTTATTTTTAAAATTTTTATTGGAATATAGTTGATTTACAAATGTTGTGTTAGTTTCAGGTGTACAGCAAAGTGAATCATTTATACGCATACATATAGCCACTCTTTTTTTTTTTAAGATTCTTTTCCTGTATAGGCCATTACAGAGTATTGAGTAGAGTTCCCTGTGCTACACAGCAGGTTTTTATTAGTTATCTATTTTATATATAGTAGTGTTTATATGTCAATCCCAATCTCCCAATTTATCCCTCCCCATCTTAAACAGCCTTTAAATAAATAGGAAAACCTTCCAGAGAGGAAAAAAAGGAAGCAGGAGCTAATGTCAGAGAGCTAAGTGAGCAGTAAAGCTCTGGGTACCCTAAGGCGTACGTGGATCTGGAGGAACTAACTAGAGCTTTGACTGCAGAGAACCAGTGACAGAGCATGGGCCAGTGGCAGAGCATGGACCAGTGACAGAACATGGGCCAGTGACAGAGCATGGGCCAGTGACAGGGCATGGGCCAGTGACAGAGCATGGGCCAGTGACAGAGCATGGGCCAGTGGCAGAGCATGGACCAGTGGCAGAGCATGGACAAGTGACAGGGCATGGACCAGTGGCAGGGCATGGGCCAGTGACAGGGCATGGGCCAGTGGCAGGGCATGGACCAGTGGCAGGGCATGGGCCAGTGACAGAGCATGGACCAGTGGCAGAGCATGGGCCAGTGAGAGAGGATGGACCAGTGACAGAGCATGGACCAGTGGCAGGGCATGGGCCAGTG